TTGGTGACTTCAGGCACTACATACAGTATTTGCCCTTCACAAATTTGAGGCAAGTAGAAAGACTTTGTTGACAATTAGCAAGCTTCACTGATCTAATTATATTAGCTTCTTTTTTATCTGTGTCTCAAAGAATTAGCTTGTGGATGTTGTTGTTTATAAGATATAGCAAATGAGGTCTTTAATTGTGATGATTCTTATGTTCATTACCATAGCTCTAGAACCAACAGTGTACCTGGCACATAGTATGTGTTCAGTAAATATTTGGTAATATTAGGTAATAAAATAAATGGATTGATGGATTCTAGCTCGAGTCATCTTACGTGTGGACCCCTTTTATATACACTTAAGAGTAATATAATGCTTTTCATTTATCCTAAGCACAGAGAAACTACAAAGGATGTATCACTGCTGGTAAGTCTTTATTTTCAAATATTCATTGACCTCTTCTTTGAGGAGTAAACTGAGGGGAGGGCAATGGAGCACCTGTGGTTCCTTGGTTCCCGCAGGCAGAGTAAACCAAAGCAATTTTATAAACACATGTTAGAGATAATTTGCTTAAGCTCAGAATGCTAGGAACCTAAGCCAGAGCAGACTGGAGAGTGCCATCTCTGATAGAGGGGTGGGAACTTGTTAGAGGAAGCATATTCCAGGAGCCAGAACCCAGCCTCCAGTAATGTGGCCCTTTAAAGCTCTGGGCAAACATAAAGGAATAATGACTTGGCTAAAAGAGTCTCAGGAAATCATATTAATATTAACCACGTACTACCTAGAAGATTATCCCATAGGAATGTGTCCAGAGGGGAAAACTTTCCCAAAGGTTATGCAAGATACAATATTATATGTTCTTCAATTCCTTCTATGCTTATGAGAACCCACATGTGAAGCGAAGAACAACTTTTCTTTCTGATGCTTGATGTGTCCAGAGTCCTTGTCTCTCTGATGATGCTATAATTTACAACACCCCCACTAACACCATGACCATGGGTGGTTACTATGGGTGAGTACCATGGGTGAGCTATGTTATGCATGAAAATAATATATTAAGAAGTTATGGCCAGGTGCAGTGGCTCACATCTGTAATCCCAGGACTTTGGGGGCCGAGGCAGGTGGATCACGAGGTCAGGAGTTCGAGACCAGCCTGGCCAACATGGAGAAACCTGTCTCTACTAAAAAAACAAAAAATTAGTTGGGCATGGTGGCACATGCCTGTAATCCCAGCTACTCAGAAGGCTGAGGCAGGAGAATCGCTTGAACCCAGGAGGCGGAGGTTGCAGTGAGCCTAGACTGCACCATTGCACTCCAGGCTGGGCAATTGAGCGAGACTCCGTCTCGGGGAAAAAAAAAAAAAGTGATGTTCCCCTAATATACAGCCATGGCAAACAGGGGATAGTAATGTTCATCAACCTGTAAACAGCAGGAAACCCCTAGGCAAAGATGGGAATATTCAAGGAAAAACTGCTGAAGCAGAGGCTGGGATAAGAAATAGATTAAAACGTTTTCTGTCAAATGCATACGTGTGTGTGTGTGTGTGTGTGTGTGTGTCTGTGTGTGTGTGTGCGCGCGCGTGTGTGTATACTTTTTTTTTTTGAGATGGGGTCTTACTCTGTCACCCAGGCTGGAATGCAGTGGCACAATCACAGCTTACTGCAGCCTCGACCTTCCAGGTTCAAGCAATCCTCTCACCTCAGCCTCCTAAGTAGCTGGGACTACAGGCATGCACCACTACACCTGGCTAATTTTTGTATTTTTTGTAGAGACAGGGTCTCACTATATTGCCCAGGCTGGTCAAACTCCTGGGCTCAAACCATCCTCCTGCCTTATCTCCCCAAAGTGTTGTGATTATAAGTTTGAGCCACTATGCCCAGCCTGCCAAATGTATTTAATGTAATACATTCTGACAATAGTTCTATTATTAATATTAGTTCATCTTAGCATCAGGATTCTGTAGCCTTAACATACCAATATTCACCACGCAAAGGCACAGCTGTCAATGGTAGTGGGTATTTGAGTAGAACAGCATGTCTTAGTCATACTCCTAACATTGCAATTATTCCTATTTACATGTATAGGACAGAATGTCTCAAGGCATAGAATTAAGCAACATAGCCACCCAATCCTTTCATTAGCTCAGCCCATGATCAACTCTTTAAGGATGCCCTAGCTCTATAGCCAGGGTGCCCTTAGAGTATACAGCAAAAAGGAAGAAGAAGGATTCAGTCAAAACCACTTGTCTTTCCACTTACTATGTGACTCTGGACACGATACTAATAATGAAAGCTCTTTATGCCTCGGTTTCTTTATCTGGTAAAATGAAGATAACAATAATAGTACCTCATGCATTTGCTCTATGGATGAAATTAGGAAAGTATTCAATAAATAATAGCCATCTAGGAGATTAGGGAACTTCCCTTAGGAAGGGATATTTAAAATCAGATTTTTTGGGCTGGGTGCAGTGGCTCACGCCTGTAATCCCAGCACTTTGGAAGGCTGAGGTGGGTAGATCACTTGACATCAGCAGTTAAAGACCAGCCTAGCCAACATGGTGAAACTGCATCTCCATTAAAAGTACAAAAATTAGCCAGGCATGGTGGCACATGACTGTAGTCCCATCTATTTGGGAGGCTGAAGTGAGAGAATTACTTGAACCCAGGAGGAAGAGGTTGCAGTGAGCCAAGATAGAGTCACTGTACTTCAGCCTGGGCAACAGAGCAAGACTCCGTCTCCAAAAAAAGTCAGATCTGAAGGCCATGTAGGAATTTACTGGCTGAAGTAGTGGCATGCTAGGTAGGACATGAAAGAAGGCCAGTGAGTGTGGAAAATTATCATGATAAGGGCTTGGTAGGACACGTGGAATGGTATAGTGTAAAAGGCCAGGTCATGCAAAACACTGGACCATATAATGTGGATACTCAGGGCAACAGGAAGCCACTGAACAGTTTTTTTTGTTTTTTGTTTTGTATTTTGTATTTTTTTGTAGATGCAGTTTTGCTCTCGTTGCCCAGGCTAGAGTACAATGGCACAATCTTGGCTCACTGCAACCTCCGCCTCCCTGGTTCAAGTGATTCTCGTGCTTCAGCCTCCCAAGTAGCTGGGACTACAGGCGTGCACCACCACACCCAGCTAATTTTTGTATTTTTAGTAGAGACAAAGTTTCTTCATGTTGGTCAGGCTGGTCTTGAACTCCTGATTTTATGATCCACCCGCCTTAGCCTCCCAAAGTGCTGGGATTATAGACATGAGCCACCGCACCCAACCCATTAAACACTGTTAAGCAGAATGATGACATGATACAACTGGAGTTTTGGAAACATGATATTGGAAGCAGAGTGGAGATTGGGTTAAAAAGGGGCAATGCAAAACAGGCAGATAGGGCAACACCTTGTTGATTCTGGGGAATGGGAGTATGAAGGTTCATTATATTACTCTCTTCACATTTGTTTACTGTTGAGATTTTTCACATTCTAAAGTCTTGTCTTCTTTTTCTTTTGAAGTTTTTAGAGATAGGGTCTCACACTGTTGCCCAGGCTAGAATGCAGTGACTTGATCCCAGTTTGTTGTAACCTGGAACTGCTGGGCTCAAGTGATCCCTCCTGCCTTGGCCCTTTCCAGAGGACTGGTATTACATGTGTAAAGCCACTGCATCTGGCCCAAAGCCTTCTTTTAAAGTATATGAACAGTAAGACCAATTAGGAGGCTATTGCAGCAGCCCAGACAAGAGATGATAGGGACTTGAAGTCATGTGGAGCCAGGTAATGGAGTTGAGAGATGCTTTGGGAGGTAAAGCCAGCAGGAGTTAGTGATGGATTGATGTTAGGGTGAAAGTAGCATTCTGAGTAGAGAATGACTCCACCTTGCCAATCCATGGATCCAGTAATGTAAGGCACCATATGAAGAAAGCTACTTTTGGGAAGATGACTCTTACATGGAACATTCTCATTTTGTAGTATCTATGCAAAATGCAAGTAGAGAACTTCAGAACACAGTTAGATATTTGAGTCATAAGTCCATGGGAGAGGTCTAAGTTGTAGGTAAAAATGTGAAGCACAGGAAAGTGCCAGAAGAGAGTCTCACGTGATTTAGAGGACCTGGGAGAAACCCTCTGGGAAGAGCTGTCTAAACAAGGATTCTGACAAATAGGATATTTAAGGCTAACCTTAGAAAGAAAGTAGGGGTATATTTCCATTGTGAAAAAAAGGAAAAAAGTTCAGTGCTATAGCTACATTTGGAGGAAAGGTGGCAGAAAGTTGAGGAAGATTTCATCTGTTGGTTGCTATTTTCTGTGTGAATTAGAAGAATAAGCATGAGAACTCTAAACATATACAGATTTTTGGGCAGCACAAAGACTTAAGTTGAGGTGGGAAACCATGATTTTTTCGTGCCACCACCATCAAAGTTCATCATTGTTTTTCTTAGTGCTTCACTCTTATTTTCATGTTGTGTCTTATTATACTACAGCCATGACTTGACAGATACTCAATTATGTATAGTAGATAGTTTGAGATAATTAGTATCTACCAAGTCTTGGGCTATATTGCAATAAGATGTAAAACGCAAAATATCTACTATATCTACTATTATCTAGTATACCTACTACATATCTACTATATCTACTATAGCTACTATTCTAGTAGCTGTAGTATGACTATTTACATTATTTTTCCTTATAGGTCTCAGAAAAACCAACCAGGATTACAGCTGTCAGATTGGTTTCACCCCAGGTAAGAATCCAAAACTTGCACATGTGACTTTAATCCATATAAGGGAACAGATGGCCACAGTACTACTACCGGCATTCCAATTGTTGGAGAGTTGATAGATCTCTGATTGCAACGTTTCAAAATATAAGCAGTGGCCAAGAGCCATGGGGGCTGGACATTTGGACCTACGTCTTCCATGAGTGTGAACTTAAATTACGTAAACTCAAAGGTCCTAGAAGGATGCCAGGTCAAAAGTGTAAGGGTTTATTTGAGATTATTTGGTTGAGTCTTCTCATTTCACCAATGAGAGACCTGAAGCCTAAAGGAGACAGACAGGTGAGCTGTCTGTGCACTTCCTGCATTAGTCCAACAGACTTCCTCTGGCCTCTCTGTTTCTATCTTCTCTTTCCACCCATCCATCTTTCACCCTGATGCTACAGTTTTTAAGGAGTTTCCCTAATTAAACTTTAAAAGGAGACATCCAGGTTACGATCATGACTAAATAATGGTTCATGACTCATCTTCTCATAATATTATAACATTTATTCAGAGTCAAATCAGGGCACAGAAAGTACACCAATTATTTAAACAGATAATTTAATATACAGAATTAACGGCCAGGCACGGTGGCTCACACCTGTAATCCTACCACTTTGGAAGGCCAAGGCAGGTGGATCACTTGAGGCCAGGAGTTTGAGACTAGCCTGGCCAACATAGTGAAACCCTGTCTCTACTAAAAATATAAAAAATATCGAGGTGTGGTGGCAGGTGCCTGTAATCCCAGTTATTTGGGAGGCTGAGCAGGAGAATCGCTTGAACCCAGGAGGCAGAGGTTGCAGTGAGTTGAGATCTTGCAATTGCACTCCATCCTGCTGGGTGACAAGAACAAAACTCTGTCTCCAAAAAAAAAAAGAGGGAGAGAATTGTTAACTAGCATAAAGTTGTTAACTAGGGGAGAGAGAGACTGAAAGAGAACTCTAAGGGATCAGGGAGGATAATAACTACAAGAACTAACTATTCTTAGGGTTGAAGAAACAAAAGAAGGAGGAGGTTGAAATTCCTTCTTTTTTACCTCAGTTAAAATGGGCAAAGACCCTATTTCCAAATAAGGTAACATTCCAAAGTCCTAGCTGGAGTTCAGTTTGGGGGAAAACCTATTCAACCCACTACAGGTAGGGATTACATTAAACTTGTAGATCACTTTTGGGTGCATTGCCATCTTAACAATATTAAGCTTTCTATTCCAAGAATGTGGATGTCTTTCTATTTCTTTAATTTGAGTAATTTTGTTTTTAGTTTTCATTGTACAAGTCTTGTGCCTCCTTGCTTAAATTTTTTCCCAAATATTTTCTTTCTTTGATGCTATTGTTTTCTTTATTTCGTTTTCAAGTTGTTCATTAACAGTGTATGGAAACACAAATGATTTTTGCATGTTGATCTTATATCCTGCAACATCTATGGGCTCTAATAGATTTTTTTTGGTGGATTTGTTAACATTTTCCATATATAAAATCATGTCATCTGCTAGTAAATATAGTTTTACTTTGGATGCTTGTCTTTTTCTCATCTAATTGTTCTCCCTAGAACATCCAGTAAAATGTTGAATAGAAGTGGTAAAAGGGAGCATCCTTGTCTTGGTTTTGGCTTGGTGGGAGTGTGTTGGTTCGTGATCATGCTGCTATAAAGAACTGTCTGTGGCCAAGTGCAGTGGCTCACACCTATAATCCCAGCACTTTGGGAGGCTGAGGCAGGCAGATCACCTGAGGTCAGGAATTCGAGACTAGCCTGACCAACATGGAGAAACCCTGTCTCTACTAAAAATACAAAATTAGTGGGGCGTGATGGCATATGCCTGTAATCCCAGCTACTTGGGAGGCTGAGGCAGGAGAGTCGCTTGAACCCAGGAGGTGGAAGCTGCAGTGAGCCAAGATTGCACCATTGCACTTTAGCCT